TGCCAAAGTTTAGTGGAGATGTTCGTGAATATTATACTTTTAAGTCAGACTTTTTGCATATGGTTTCATCGAGATATAGTAAACGAGATGCTATAACTTTACTGCGTTCCTGTTTGGTAAATAAGCCATTAGAATTGATAAGTGGTATGGGTTCTGATTTTGATGCTGCCTTTGAATATCTAGACTCAATGTATGGAGATCCAAGATTTATTGCTGATTGTATTACCCAAGATTTAACACGTTTCCGTCCACTAAGAGATGGTGAAGATGCACGTTTTTGCGAATTAGTTCATGTTGTCCGAAGAAGTTATAACACACTTAAAGAAATAGGCAGACCTAATGATATGAACAATAATCACATGTTAGCTTTAATTGAACAGAAGATGAACACGGAAGACAAGAAAGTTTGGTTCAGATATCTTGAAAAAGACAAAAAGACTGCTGATTTAGAAGATTTATTAGAATGGATGAATGCTGAAATGAAGTCTCGTATTCGTGCTACTGCTCCTTTAAGATCATCTGGTCAACACTCAAGATTCAACATACATCATGGTAATTTTGATGATAGACCTGCTGAAATCAATCGATATAAATGTTGGCGTTGTAAAAGCAATGATCACTGGTTAGACCAATGTCGTAATTTCCTGTCCAAATCTGTATCTGATCGTATTAAAACTCTGAAAGATAATCATGCCTGTTTGAGCTGTTTGAAAATTGCTGGTAAAAATCATGGTGTAATGAACTGTTCGAGAAAACGCCAATGTACTGAACTCTATAATGGGAGTCGCTGTAAACTGTTTCATCATAAATTACTTCATCCTACTAATAGAACAACAAGCCCTGAACACCACAGTGTAGGAATTGCATCAATGCTGAATAGTAGAGAAACTATTTTACTTGTAATAACTGTTGATATCTATGGTAAATGTAATACTGTTAGAGGAAATACCCTGTTAGACTCTGGTGCCCAGCTTAGCTTAATTAGAAAATCAATGGCCGAACAACTTCAATTAGAAGGCAAAGATATAAGTATTGTGATGACAAAAATTGGTGGAGATTCTGAAGAACTTAGAACCAAGCTGTATAAATTTAGAATAGTTTCAATGGATACTGGTAGATCTTTTCAAATTACTGCTTTAGGAATTCCATGTATTGGTGAAGATATTGAAGAAATTAGATTATTTGAAATAGCTAAAGTTTTTAATTTACCTGTTAGATGTTTACATAGAGGTTACGGTTCTCTTGATCTACTCATAGGCATAGATCATGCTTTTTTGCATACAGGGGATATAAGACAATATAACAATCTGATAGCAAGACATTCACCTTTGGGATGGATTATATTTGGTGTGACGTCTGGTTATCGAACTCAAGATCATCGTGTGTATCATGTCGGATTGTCGGGTCCGGTAGATATGGCTGACTTTTGGACTACAGAAGCAATGGGTGTGGCTTCAGGTTCCTGTTGCTGTCGAGAAAGTGGTCTCAGTCCCATAGAAATTAAAGAATCTAAGATAATCGAGAAATCCTGTAAGAAGATTGGTAATCAATGGTTAATACCTTATCCTTGGAGAAAAGATCCTAATTTACTTCCTGATAATAGAATACAAGCTGAAAATAAATTGGAATCAACTGAACGTCGACTGCTGAAATATCCTGTACATGCTGAAATATATAATGGTCAAATTGAAGAAATGGTGGATATGAAATTCGCTAGAAAACTTACAGATTCAGAAATTACTGAATACAAAGGTCCTGTTCATTATATTTCCCATCATGAAGTTATAAAACCAGAGAAGAAAAGTACACCTGTAAGAATAGTATTTAACTCATCTGCTAGTTTTAATGGTCACTGTTTGAATGATTACTGGTATAAAGGTCCTGATCTTCTCAACAATTTATTTGGAGTTATACTGAGATTTAGAGAAAATGAAGTGGTTATTTGTGGGGATATTTCCAAGATGTATCACAGAGTACTGATTCCTGTAGAAGATCAACATGTTCATAGGTTCCTGTGGAGAAATCTCAATGTTGAAAAAACTCCTGATGTATATGTCAAAACTGTATTGACATTTGGTGATAAGCCAGCACCTGCTATGGCTCAGATGGCTTTAAAGAAAACTGCTGAAGAAGTAAAATCTAATTTACCTGAAGCTGCTAAAGTATTAGAAAATGATGTTTATATGGATGATATATGTACTTCAGTTAAAACTGTAAATGAAGCTAGTAAACTGACTATTGATATTGACTCTGCACTAGCTAATGGTGGATTTAAAGTTAAAGGATTGATAT